GAAATATTTTTTTTCCTTTCCATTAAACAAAGGTGTTCATATACGGAAACATTATCTTTACTAGAAAAAATAAACACTGTTGTCAGTTGAACAAACGCGCAGTTGGGAAGAAACCTTAATGTTATGAAATAGTGAACAATGTTTTTTCTGAATATATATATATATATATATATATATATGCATGTGCATATATAAGTCTTATGTGTTTATTGAGTTCTATAATGAAATGTAAGTATGCCCATACACAAGTACAGAAAGTATAAATTTAATAAATTATGTCACGCAATACCCGATCCGAAAGAAAATAGAAGAAAAATACCATCTGTTTACTAGGATAACAAATTTCCCACAAATATAAAGAATTTACCGAGTCGTCATTAAACATTGAAGTTATATATGTTTGATTTTATGCATTTCATCATGAAATTTTCTTTCTGAAAAATTAAATTCCACACCAGGAAGAAATCTATATTTTTAGGACTTTATTTCTTTGCGTTCCAAGTTTAAAATAGGGCTTTAACGTTTCAGTTTTGAAATTCTAGTAGCAATGGTGTCGTTTCTTTTTCACGGGGTGAGTTTGTTAGCCTCACGGCCAACCTTCCGTCCTTACAGGGTCTACTACCGGCTAGGTGAGGTCTAGGAGTGTGTCGACCGGGGATCGAACCCGTGCCACGTTTGTGCTTGGCGAGCACTCTATTGACGAACCACTAGCGTACAAGGAAGTAAAAATATATGACATTTTTATTGAAAAATCAAAATATGCTCGATAGGAATAGGTAAATATATCTCTGGTACTAAGCGTCACAAAATTCTCTTCGGCTAACAGATATAATGGTCAAATGTAGTATTGTAAGATACTCCTCTATTATGTTGAAAGATAAAGTTTAATGTACCTACGAAAATCACTGAAATGTCCATTGTGTAGAAACAAAATATTTATATCGGGTATAACCGAAATAAGGAATCTATGCATTAGATAATACATTTTTATTCGGTACAACTTACAGTGTTCGGTATGATAACTTATGAGGTTATAAAGTGTACGTCGACGACGAATTTCAGAATAGGACAAAAGAAATGTTTAGTGCAATCTGATTTTCACTGGTTTGTTCACTACTGTTGGTTCATGAAGAAAACTATTCTAAAGTCATTTGAATACTCCCGAACCTTTAAACTAAAACAATGCCTACACAAAGGGGACGCAAATACCATGAAAACTCACAAGTGCGTAGTTATCAGATGGCCTGGTTATCATTAAGTCAAATGACACTACACTGAGACAGCCTATCATAACAAACAAATCACAGTTGATAAGTTTCATTATACTGATACTATCCGCTTGCTTTAGAGGTTCATGATATGTCTCTTAGTGTCATCACAGGATGCTACCAGATAACAAGAACCAGTAAGCATTGAAAATGTGGTTGCCCTTCGGTTTGAATGATTAAGTTCATGGTTAGTATCCAAATTCAAATGCACATTACTACTTAGCGACTGGATTTCGGCCTAGTGACTTGTAATTTCTAGCCTCAGGGAATTGTATCATCATACGATATAATCCTGGTGAGTGTACCTCCGCATACCTGATTTGTTAATATTCCTAGGTTGTGCATTTCCTGACAACTTTAACATGAATTTATATTAATTAGTAAGTAAATAAATGCCAAATATAATTTTCTAAAAGCAATCATGCTTTTTGTATTAATTGCTGCTTTGAATATTTTCCCGTGTTCTACTTGCAGTCATCTGTAGAAACAGGTAGTTATATTTACTCAAAATGAATACAAAGTCAATATCAGTAGTTATTCAATGTGGTAAGACTTTCTTAAGAATATATTTTTATGGAGGAATTTCCTTTGAAACACTGTGCGCTCCTTACAAGCATAATAATAAATAATTACTTCAAACTTGGTTTAATCCTCACTATACACTAACTAATTTTCACTCATATAGACACCTTACTTGTTTTCGTCCCTCTGGTGAATATTAAATTAATAATATTTAGTAAAAACGAATCGTATTGAAACTGAAATAGTTAGACAACAGAAAAGTACCTTTTTTAATTAATCATAATTCAGAATCAGTCCAAAAATGTGTACAAGTACTTGCAGTAAGTGTAAATGCTTTATGTGAAAATTTATTGTAATTGGCTATAAATTAGTTAATCGTGAACTTAGAACTCATGCACTGGCCACTGAATTCCGTCCCAGTGGTTGAATGGTCAACGAGCTCATTTCGTAACTTGAAGGTTCTTGGTCTGATCCACGATGGAGTCTCGGGTGTGATTAGGAGAAAATCCTTAAACTATGAGAAGTGGTAAACTATGAGTGTGGTATTCAGTGTGCCACAGAAACAACAACTTAACTTTCTTAATTAAATAGAATACTGTCTAAAACCAGATTCTTAAAAGAAATGGTCATAACCTGCTAATCTTTGAGGATTTAATGTCTTTTATTAATACACAGAAACTTTTAATTGATAATGTTTTGTTTGACACTCATGGTATGGATTCCAGTAACGGAACTCATGACTGGGCCGCCAGTATAAATTGGTGGATATATGTTGAATATAATGAATGACATGACATTTAATCAGAAGGCTCATACAATAATTCCTTGTTTTCAGCTCTATATAAACGAAAATATTATTAGTGTAAAAATATATTTGTCCACTAGTGTTAGTTCGCGTTTTGTATCTCTTCTTATCGTCTTTATTAAGCATTATATACATAGAGTCTGCTAATTACAAATTTCAAAAATTTGTGCTGATAATATAGACTGCGCTTATGTGTACAGTCATCTTCTTTTCTAAAGAAACAATTAATTGTCAAGAGTTGGCTTGTAAGGATTAGATTTGTTTTCACGAGTTTGACCATGGATTGATATCAATTAGAGCAGCAATGGTTCAATGGTTCTCTAACTGATATCAATCCATGGTCAAACTCGTAAAAACACTTAATTGTATCTACACCTTGAATAAAAAAGGATTTATTCCTATATAGGCATGGTTATGATTATTAATTTTAGCCTCACTAATTTCAGGTAGTAATAGAGACATGTAGCTCAGGTGGATGATTTTGATTGGGTTAGGTTTTCTGACCTGGTATATTGAATTACGAGGCTTTTATTGTCCTTCCAAACAATAAGAAGTTCAAAGTCCAAGTCAATAAAAATGATCAATAGAGATGTAAATTAACAACTACTCACAGTAATGATTGTCAGGAGATGCAATGATATCATTCATGAAGAATTCAGATTAGTTCATTTCATACTCAAAATTGCGCTGAATATGTCATTTAAAAGGACAATTAATTTCAGGTAATTTAACTCGGGCTTTAACGAATTCTCGGTATTTTAAGAGATTGGCTGATATCCAAACTGATTCCGTCAACAACTGATATTAGATAGCAGCGAACTCCGGAATAGTATCCAAATTAGTCCAACTAGCTGTTCAATGGCCTCAGTTCCCAGTAGAATCAGTCTTTGAAATTTAAAATACAGTCATCAGTTTATTCGCATCCCATTTACAAGTTACAGTGAAATTCGTAACGTGATAACTTTGAAGTAAATATACTGCATATAAGAAGTAGTAGTTATGGAAACTAGTTAGCACTGGTTATTATACCTGATGGAAAATTATGATCAGCGACAACATACACAACTGCTTATGATATTTGTCGAACAATGCTCTTCTTGAGGAGACTACTAAAGTGAATTGATAGGATTGAGAGAATGACTTGCTTTACCTTTTTTTGTAGATTTGAGTTGTTTATGAATACTATCAGCAGGTTTTTCATATAGTCTCTGTGGCTTATCTGAAATGTATCAATTGACCACTTGATTATTTCACCTAAAAAGGTAAAACTTAAAAGCATATTGTTTATGATAAACCATAGCGTTTAATAACATTGTTTCCCTTAAAAGCTGTTTTATTCTTTCAAGTGGCTGAGTTCATTACTGGCCTGTCACTTACAATACCAACAATATGTACTTAGGCGAAAAGCGTAACACAAAATATTAAACAAATGTGTTATATTATTCAGGCTACATAAGTAAACAAAAAAACTTTTTGTTATTGGCCAACTGAATTTGCTGTTCATTATCTAAACATCTGGAAAGCATACCTCGTCGAGATTTTTAAAATAACTCGACAGAATAATAACTGCCTAAATGATCAGTGAGAAGCTTAAGTTCTTCTGCTGTAATGGTAATAAAATAAACTTCTGTAAAGTACACTGCACACTGGAACTCAGTGAAATTATACTAAAGTAAAAAGTAGGGGGGAACTTATGTGTTCAGAAAAATACACACATTAGTCTTTCTTTGACTTGGTGACTCAAAGTATACTCTCTTTATCGCAATTGATTGCACAATCTTTTACTTTCACCCCACCCCCAATTTCGCCTTAATGTAATTCAATTGTTTTTGCTTCTATGTCTTGAGTTAAACTCACTACACTGATACTCAACATCAACTTCTCTCCTCTAGACTTGACTGTGTAACTCGATTTTAAATGCATTTGACCATTAAATTTACATCTTTGTACTTCTCTGGAACCTTGACCTCCTTCATAAGTTTTATGAGTAGAACTTCTGAACACTGTTTATTACCATGTGTCTCTGTTAAAAAAAAATCATGTTAATTCTTACAAGTATGACAAAATTCTGTATACATTTAAACGATCAACTTTTAAGTTGTAAGCGGCTGAAGAGAATCCAACAACGAAATAGATTATGACCTCATATTATTCTGCATAAACATTTGTTTTTGCTTGGTTTAAATTCATAAAGGAGGATAAATGTATGAAATTAATATAACTAACAAATTTTAGTTTAGGTTATGCTTTCATTAGGTTTAACTCTAGTTTGAGAATGTATGTGTTTGAGAAGTATTTGCATTTATTATAAAGTTTTTTTTCCAGATAATAAGTGCTGTAAGTGAATCATGCGGGAAACTTATTTTCACAGTAATAATCTTAAGTTTTCTGCTTTAACTTTTCAGCTTTATCCTTTGATCGGCTAGTGACGGAGAATAGGCTTGTATCTCATTTGTATCATTGTCCGTTTGACTTGACAAGAATTGAAGGCGAAGCCTGTTTGCAGGTAAGTATACGTCAGGCAAAAATGAAGTAGAAAATGCGAAGAAATTATTTCAGTATTTTTCTGTGAAATCGAAGTATAAAAATGTCATCATTATTTCGCTATCCAAGGCCATTTTGAATTATCCTTCGCAGGGTAGATGATAATTTTCATCTGAGGGTATAAGGCATGTTGCCAAGCTGTTCGAACACAGAGTTATGTCTAAGTTCTGGTTCACGAACAACATCATTTGTCTGAACAGCTTACAAATATTCCTCTTTTAGAAGAATAGTTGCTGAACAAAGAATATTGTTTTTTTGATAACTTCATCATGAGTTTCTACAGTTAGATATACATAATAGTGGATGAATTAGTGTTATTAACAACATTAATGTTTAGGCAATATTACCAGTGGATTACAGTTTAACAGAATCAACATAAAAATTCACTGAATACCAGAAAAATTAGGAAAGATAATAATAAAAATTCATGAATTTACAGTCTCCACTGAAGGCTAGGACAGTAGTAGTTGCTGGAGCACACAGAGCACTGGTTGTGTCAGGCGAATCGCAATAGCCTCTGCTGTTTGGAGTACGTATGTATATATAACTGTAGAACCTGATGATGAAGTTACTAAAAAGAATATTCTTTGTTCAGTAACCATACCTCTAACAGTCGGCTTAATTTTCAGTAATGCACATTAGACGGCTGAAGGTCATCCAAAAATACTTTTGAGACTAAGGGTCTTTCCTACTGATTATTTTTCGCACTATTTGTCTATTAACTGGAGCCATAAATGAATCAATTCAACCATGTTAGTATAATTTAAGAGATTAGTGAATTTTGATAAACCTATTTATTCAACAAATAGAATAAACAAAATAAGGATAACTAACTACACAACCTCATTTTGATAATAATGTGACTTTAAGACTGACTGCTTTTGAGGAGAAAAATTATGTGAATAAAGCTAATTTATCACCATCAGATACCGAAAAAAAGTGTCTGAGGATTAACATTAAAAATGATTTGAGTAGAAATTTATGGTTCTTTGGACAAAATAAAAAAAATTTCAAAGTTTTTATCACCCTTAACGAGTGTTTTCATAAGAAGAATGCCACTTCAAATTCCAACAACATTTTCTTTCTGTTATTATTATACACATAGGTCATAGTCGTCTAATAGCTACTTTCGGATATGTTTACAACCAAAATGTAAGTAAATTAAGGAGAGCAGGCCTACAGAGTGCCAGTCAGTGTGACAGTCTAAGAGTGCGAAAAAAGATTCAATGATTTTTCAGAAAGCAATTTATAAATGTCTACATTTAATGGATTGGACAACCGGAAAATGTAAGACAGCGAAAAAAATTAACCAAAGCCATGTGTCTAGCAGTCTCCTCAAGAACTTCACATCCATGGAGTCACACTGTTCGACGAAAATCATCGACAGCTGTGAGTTACAGCTAATCGTAGCTCTCCAACTGGCACAATAACCAGCTGGTTTTAGCATAACTGCTATTCTTATATGCAGCAATGATTTTATGGATTCAACTGTATTTGATAAGCGAAAGGCTAATAAAGCGTTGACTGTGCTTTAAATTTCAAGTGTTGATTCTACGAAGAATCGAGATTAGCTAACGATAAAGTTTGAAACAAGTGGGTAGTCAGCAACTAGTTTGACTTATTTTGAGATTATTTAATGATTGGGTGCAAGCTGATATCGGCTATTGACGAAATCAAACTGGATATAGATCAAATAGGTATTCTAAGGCATTATTTCTAAATTAGTAAGAGGAATGTTCACTCCATGGATGACAGAATGGTCTGAATTAACACAGTATGTTTAATGTCACTTAAATCCGTCACAAATAGTGCAACTATTAAATGAATATCATGCAAACAAAATTTATTTATTTAATTTTAATAAATACATATATTATCCATTCACAGGCTTTAAATGGATTCATATTTATTATGTCCTGCGACGGCGAAGTGTTCTCTGTATCAAAAACTGTGGAACATTATTTAGGCTTTCATCAGGTGAGTTGACAACGAAGTTAATTTCATAACTTGTAAATTCACTTTCCTTGTATAGATTTATTGAAATTTAGTTAAGTATTAAGTTAGCCGAAAAACAGTCGCATTTTCATACTTCACAGAAGCAAATTACCGGTATGACCAACGCGTTTAAAACCAGTACTTGATTCACTTAGGACTGTGGAAATCAGCTTCATTTTAGCGGTATACTTCAATGATATCATGCTGTCTGCACGTAACAATCTTCAATTATATCTGCTACCTCTTAATAAATGTCTTGGCACATGAAAGTCTATATTTTTACTGTAAATAAAATGATAAAGTTCAGTAAAACCACCAAATTAACTGATCTTGAAACACGTTTTGCTGCACAAATTGTACTTCGGATGCTTTGATTAAAGTTCTGCTTTATATTTAATCTTCATGATAATAAGTTAATAACCTCGATGGTATTTAAATTCAGCCTTAATTAAAGCCTCTACTTTTCCCAACTGCTACAATGGCTTTATTTGTTTGGAAACCATATCGTGAAGGAAGTGACGAAATATAGTCACTGTGGGGTTTAGTAAGAGATTGGTCAACTGTTTGCCACTCTTATTGAAATCTGTAAGCAGACAGGTATACAGGTAATCATTTGTTTGTCGTCACACTCTGGCTAGTGTTCAATTCATAGGTTTTATTGTCAAAAAAATCAAACTTTTCGATCCTAGCGTATACACAGAGATAATGAATATTAAATACAAACATCAAATGATGAGCAGATGATATGTGATCCCTCTTTTTGTGTGGATTATCTTTCATATTCATTGTTTCACCAAAGATTTCCGTAAATATCAATTTAACTGTTTCTCAGATCAAACAAAGTTTTTATGCTCTAATGTTTAATTCATTAGAAAATGATGAAGTGACAATATTGCTGTTATCATTGAGCACACTTTGTCTAAATTATTTCATATTGCAAAAGGTTGTCGCGATAATTCATGTCTTATGGACAGACTATCAAATGTTGGAAAAAAGGCTTGTTTCTTTCTCAATGACTTCCTATAATAATATGATTCTCTTCAGTGTTATAATGAAATAATTCTGACGCTTTTCTACCTTTCCGTAAACTCGCTAAACAATACTATATCTAAATCTCATTGTAAGACACAAAAAAAAACACCTCAATGGATTGATTTCTTTGACCTGGGACAAATGTACCTATGAATTAGATTTCACTGACAAAATATTTCTCATATACCATCTGGACAGGTGTAGAATATATATAAGACTAATAAATATCAGGCACCTGCATATTTATCCATCTAAGATGATTGTCTTCTAAGTTAGTAGAACCAATGAAAAGTAATTTCATGTATCTTCAGAAATAATTCTAAAATTCACTCTCGATAAATTCAACAGTTATTTCAGAAGAAAACCTGATAGTAAAATGAGGTCAAGATTATATGGCAAAAACACCGGAACAGCTGATTCTCATCTTTCGAAGGAATGATAACTGTCTGGTTATTATTTTCTTAAAATCTACTAACAGCTTCCTTATATGGATGTTCCTGTAATTTTTCTAAAAAGTAATTGATCTTGTAAGTAAAATTCTCATTTGGATGGAAAAAAAGTTTAACTCTTCATTGTGCAATTCATAAGTGAAATTCCACAATTATTCTCTTTCACAGAGTTGCTATTTGAAAGACTTGCTTTCATTTGTGTGATACGTCTGGGAATAATGCGTATCGTTCAGTAAATTGTATCAGTTCACTCACAGTCAGTTTTCTGTTAGGAAAATAACTAGGACGAATCTGATGTGCATAGGTCTTTTGTTTTCAATGATTACCTGGAGAATATCGGTTTGTGGTGCAATGTAGCTAGAAATCAGTCGAATCTTCACGAATTCAAGAAATTCAATACTATTTCAGATCGCTTATTAGATTTCGTTACAATTAATCACTAAAGGGTCATGTGTATAGTCAATCAAGTTTGCAAAGTGGCCACCATGCTATTTGGCGCACCATCACGATGTACTCAGAATTGTTATTATTAGATGGTTGGAGGCAGTGGGCAGGAAGCCTCGGACATAGGTTTCGTGCTTGTTGGCACTTGACTAACAGAATTCATTTGAGGTATACAAAAGACTGGACACATGACACCAGTTAGTGTCCAATCAAAGTGTGTAATACAGTCCTACATGAGGCCAGTGGCAAGGGCGAATAGCTCAGTAGTAACGTCTCTAAATGTAGCACTGGCTGAAGTGGGCTCGAATCTCAGAAGGGATATGGGTTCCCTCAAGATTACAGCCACGCCTTGCTGAAGAGTGCCAAAAAAAAACGAAACCAAGGACCTAGGCTTCCTACCGATTGCCTCCAACCATCTAATAATCAATGGCTACATATCAAACATTTATTTCTCACTTATTCACAGAGTAATGTAATAAGAACAAGTGGGATTTATCCATGAGAATTGTTTATTAACTTCCAGGCTGATATTTTACACCAGAGTGTCATGGAACTTATTCATTCAGAAGACAGAGAAGAGTTTCGAAGGCAGTTATCGTGGAGATCAATGCTTTCTCCAGAGCTACAATCAACTGCATTACATGATCTAATGAGTCCAGGTGAGTGGAAAACTAATTTGGATGAATTGTTCATTGGTGAAGAAAAACTTCTTATGATGACCCGTTCCAGGTGTATATACATTGGGACAACTGAGTTAACTAAATGTAGGATTTTAAGTTAAGTTAACAATCAGAGGAGTTAATGAATTGTATTCTATTCTGGTTTTATTCGTTTGATTATCTGATTTTAGTTGGTGAGTAAAATTGTCTTAAGACTGACTACTTTAATAAGTCCATAAAATATGAGGAGTGAATTCACAGAAAAGAATCTAATGACCCAGATAGTACTCAGAGTTTACGGTGTTTTTTCTGGACGTATCTTTATTATCAGCATTAATGAAATTTGGTAGACATTTTAGTTTGCTTATGTCAGCTACAATTACTCCTAGACATTGTATTTTTTCAGGATTTCATTATGAGCTGACATTAGTTAGAGAAGCATTGGAAAACCTGGGAGTACTGGACAGCTGTTTTGTCCTAGTTTGAGACTCTCCATCAGTACGCATCCACCGGGATTTTTATTGAGTGCAAGCTGTTACATAATAATCGTAGAGTTATAGCAGTAGACTAGATAGCTTAATTAATTTTCCACAGAATCTAGATAAACCTGATGCTGTCCATTAAACATCTTATTATTTTCACAGGGGTGTTAATGTTTTCAGTCATCTTAATCCCTAAGATAATGAGTGACTAAGCAATTTTTTAAAAGCTGTCAAATTCCCATAGTTGTAGATTTAGGCAATGCAGGATATTTTACCAACTACATGTTAGTAATAATGATAATGATTACTATATCCATACTCTTTAATTATTCAAATGAAATTAACTGAAGTTTTAGATAAATTTGTGAGTAAAACTGGGAGATTAGCTTATGCACCTTCCAAAATAAATAAACAGTTAATTTCGAGAAAACATTAGACTATTTAAAAATAACTATGACACGTTATAATTTTAACTCCAAATTGTTTTATTGTTTTTACACCCATTTCTAGAAAATGTTCATTATCTGAAACGTCGGTTCACTGTACGATTTCGATGCCTTTTGGATAACACATCTGGATTTATTGTGAGTCAATGGTTATGAATGTTAGAAATATTCTTCTATGACTACTGAATTTCGCACTTTAGACAGTAGAGGTATAAAAAGACAGAAGATAACAAGGCATTCATATCTTTAGAGCAATTTTTGAACTCCTTATAGTTTATCTTCAATCACATAAATGAGTAACAACTACACTTATGTAATATACTATTGCATCATCAATAAAGCTTTTCATCAAAAAACATCGTTGTCCAATCCCTGATACAATGTTAGAAGTCTTATTCTGTTTCATTGAGATGGATTTATTGAAAATATTTCCTGTACAACAGTGGGACAGAATGTCTAGTTAGCACCATTTTAGCGGATGAAGAATATCTTTACGTATTTTAACGCTGAGTTGAGATTCAGTGAACTTGACTTGTTCAACCTAAAAAGAAAGTATTATAATTAGAGGAAGGTATATTACAAAAATATAAGATTGTCTACAAAAAATACCATTTCTGTTTCCAAGATTTATATCTGTAACATGTACTATAGTATTTTATGTTATAATATGAATATGTGATTGTATCCCATTAGTATACATTCTTCTTGTACCTACCTGTTGTTATTATTTTCATCATATTCTTGTTTTAGACTCTTGAGCTAAGTGGTAGGTTGCAATTTCTACATGGGCAGGCTAGAAGCATGCAAATGGCTGTAAATTCTGGACAGATCAATCCTAGCACCAATATAAACGTAATGAACAAGTATAGTACACCGAATTCTTTTAATAGTGGATCAACTTCTAGTCAGCATACCCTACCTCCGCTTGGACTTTTTGCTGTCTGTAGTCCACTCGGACCATTACCAAGCCTAAATGGTCCTCAAAGAGATGCGACTTTTAAGACAAAACATCAGTTAGATTTCACTGTTATCACAATTGATGCTCGGTAAGTGGTTTAGTATTTATTTATTTGTTTATGAAGAGAATTACAATAATATTTTTAGTGTTATTAGTATTCAGAGGATCATGCAGTCTTTTGTAAAGGTTCGACTGTTAATTTGTGAATGTTTTGCTGCAGTTTTTTCACAGATTGTTCATTTTTTATTTATCTATTCCAAATTTTTCAAATCACATGTTCTTTTTATAAGCCCCTAGTTGGAAACCATTCTGTTTTGACTATTAGTAGATCTGTCTACCTATTGGTATGGAAAACAGAGTTTACGATAGTGGCTCTGCACGATTATCCAAAATTACATGAACAGTGAGAAGAAGGCATCATATAGAGTTCTATTTACATCTTGAAGGAAATTTAAGACATTGACTGTTTATAACATTGATTATACGATAGCTTTATTGTATTATCTGAAGTCATGATTTCAATACAGAAAGTTTTTATAGTGATACTTCTGTAGTCACCATATTTTTTATAGGCAATTTATTTATGTGCGTTGGTGGCACAGTGGTTAGGACTCTCGCCGACCATTCACATGGTCCGGAGTCCGAGCCCACACTGGCGCACTCCTGATATCTATGGTCGGCCTGAGAAATTTGGGCTACCGATATCCATGCTGAAAATTCCATACTTGTACCAAACATACAGTGCGGAATCAAGCTGTAAATCAAAAAAAAATTTATTTCACTGAAATAAATTCTATGGAGTTACTTTTAATAAAAATTTTAATTTTTCACACAGACCTGACAGCTTCTTTCTAATCTTATACAAACATTTTTAATACAGTGCACGCCTTCTGTTTAACTATTCTGATGCTGACCTGCAGAATTTCAAAGTTTATGATCTCGTACATCCGGATGATTTGCGTTATGTAGCTAAGGGGCATAAGGAACGTAAGTTTCAAAACAGTCTATACTGAAATTTTCGTTTTATTTGTATTTTGTATTTAGATAGTAGTATATTTCATGTCAGCTATTAATACATAGTGTAGGTTGAAAACGAATTTTCATACACTGCTTCTTGATTTTAAACCTTAAGTGTGCTACATGAGATTGTCTTGCCACTAATTTTATTATTATTCATTTCTTGCGTTCCAATTGGAACATATGGCTTCGACTCACACCATCATCGCGCTTGATTCTCTGCTATCACTTTCATCCACCTCTAAAAGTGAATACAAGTTTTCATTTCGTCTAAACATGATGTCCTCCTCGTCACCATTGGACATCCTAAACGGTAATTTATTTTGGGCTTCTACTTGAGGCCTAGTGTATGATGTAATTCAACGGTCACCTTAGCGTATGCGGGATTCATCTTCACTGCCTTCTGCATATTTTTTGGGTTATAGGTTGTTGACTAGTTCGCTGTCAGCGTTCGTTGTTGTTTATTGCTTCTGGTCGGTCATCTGATCTTCAGTGTGAAGCAAACGCATCTGTTGATAAAAGTCTGCAACCTGTTAGTTGTCCTTTTAGTGACTGGCTAATGAGTTGACACTAGCGTTGAAAACTTTAAATCCTGCTTCCGGTGCTAAGTTCTTTATATCTCGACACAGATTTCTGGGAAATGAATGCCTATCTTGCCTTCCGATCCTCACTGCCTCTGACATTCTAATTCGTTCTGCCTGTCTGTAGCCCAGAGATGCTGGCCCTTAAATGTTTTATCAAATATTTTAAAATGTACTGATGCAAGAAAACACTTTTTAAGGTAAACTATGTCTTAAAAAAAACCAAGCAATCAAAATGTACGTTATAATTACTCAGTAAAGTGGAAAATTACGAATTTCATTTGACAGCATTTATAGTCACTAAAGCATACCCAATTTTTATTTACAGTTTTTAAGGTTGGCTCACTTGGTCTACTTGTACACCGATGGTTAAATAAACAATCTCAATGGGTTTGGTTGCAGTCTCGAATAAAACTAATCATGAAGAGCGGTAAACAGGATCACATTATCGTGATACATCGTCAGTTATCGTAAGTTTGTGTCTTCTATCATTTATTAACTAATGTCTTGTGGATAAAATATTCGAGCATTACTTATAAATTACTTTACACATCTAAAATTAGCTAAAGCTTAATCCTTTTGCATCAAGCACTCATTTCCTCGGTGTTAACTGAAACTGAACACCAATGCACAAAACTACATCCTATCAACCAGGTGGAGTGTGGACTAAAATTCGCAGTCTATAAATCACACCATTCAAGGTGAAATTCCACGGCAGTTTCCCTTGCAAACCAAAGTTATTCGTATCACATTGTGTGATCTTCTTGATCGCCATTTATGGCGAACAAGATAGGCAACAAAAAAGCCTGTTTGATAATGAAGTGTGATGAATTGATAGAGCGTAGCTGTGTTCATTTTCTCCAGGGACTGTTATGCGTGATGTCATTAGTGAAACACTAGAAGAATTGTAGCTAAAGAGAGATACCAAGATTTTTTACGTATGTAGGTTTTGGTAGAGGTATATTCTCGGAATTTAATTATTAGCTGTCTGGTTTTCTATCGATGGGATGAGTGAAATACTGGTATGCTGTTGGTATGTGCATTGAATATATCTTTATTCATAAAAGGAAGTTAAGGGTAAATCAACTAAACATAAATGTTATAAAATGATTACAGATGTAACCAAATAATCCATTCCTTGTATGGCAATTACCACTTAATATGGTTTAAGCCAAAAAAAAAACATTTAATATAAAAGAGTAGCATAAATCGACAGCCTTTTAATTATAACATATTTCAGAATAAAAATAATCTCATATTTCTGAGTCTATTGCCTAAGAGAATTCTTTCTTTACGAAATAATGAATTATTCAATTGTGTGTTTATAATCTTCATGCAGCACAGAACACTACAGAAATTGTAAATTGTCAGTCGGAATATATCCAGACTGTATTATTATCCTGTTGGACACTATAAATGGACAAATGTGACGATAATTTTTAAATTATCTCTAAAGTCAGTTTTCATTTTGTGTCGCATGAACCTAAACCTTTATAGCTAAATTTAAGATTACAATTTATATTCAACACAGAAACATGGACAGATTCTGATTTGAGGTCACAAAGTATTATCCTACATCAGTCTCCAGAAAAGTTTCAAACGATGTCATTTTCTAAAAATATAACTATTTTTATGTATGTATTTGAACTGACTCATCAATATGTGTTTTTATTGCAATTTCGTTCAATTAGGAATGAGGAAGGTATGGAATTACTTATTAGAAGGACAGATGAATACAAATTACCCTTCCCACTACTCGAACCAGAAACTTTATTAAATGGAGAAGAGCTTTCAGCAAGCAATACTACTTCTCACATGGATATCAATTCAACTTTCCCAATGTATCAAATGAAACATTTTGATCCCCATATTATTGGAAGTAGTGATCAGAAGTTATATGGAACAAACATTAAAAGTGATAAAATTAATTTAGGATCAAAACATACAGCAGAAAATGTTTCCAACTCTGATATATGTGCTGACAGTATCGGTTTTAGTCATAAGCGAGGTAACTGTAGGCAGCTGGTGGATGCCGTGGTTAACAATACCCAAGTGGAAAGATGTCTAACTGGGACAACTTTAGACAATTATTGTGGCAATCTTCAGTTACCTGGAGTCGAATCTAATTTATTAGAGCATTGTCTGAACAAATCGGCTAGACAGTCCAAGGTTATTCAGACTACAGTTCGGCGTAGAAAGAGGACCGTAAAAGAAATGATTGCGTCTGAAGTAAATAAATGTCGACTTAACCATCGTGGTTCTTGTACGACAGCATGCATTTATATGTCATCTGAACAAATGGCTAGTCAAATCAACTATGGTGCCAATATTTATCCACCAGCACATCTTCCTTTAAGTTTCACTCAGACATTACCAAGAAGCAGCGAGTCATTTTGTCGAAATCCTTACTTATGTTGGCCAACAAACAATTCCACAACAGCGATGTCAACAAATCTCGGCCTAAACAAGTTAGATAATTCAGACCAGTTTCCTCAGTACGACTCAAGTGAAATGGGTTTATTTATGATTGATTCACGGCATTCAAATCAGAACATACATGAATTGGGTATACAAGGCCATTATCCCGCTAGAAACTATCCAACAGCCTATGATGCATATTCCGCAGCAGTCGCTGCAGCTGCTGTGGTCGCAGCAGCTACCGGCAGTTGCAATTCAAAACAGCAGAACCAAAACCATCACGGTCTATCATTTTATCAACAATATCAGTCACAGAACTCGTTGAATAACCAAACGAAACCGTATAAACGACATTGTTTAAGTTCATCGCATTTCTTGACAAATGATGGTGAATCGGAAGGACAACATTTTCAGCAGACATTAAACGATGTAAACCTGTTTGATTTACAGAAAGGACAACAATCTCAGGCTGAATATAATTCACCTTTACGTAATGAGCACACGGTTATTTCTTCAAATCTACAATCCACATTTAACAGTTGTGCAGATTATATTTTTTCAAATAATTACTTTTCACAAGAACAGCAAATAAATAACCAGATTGTAGGAAGAGACAGCACGGAGTCTAGTGATATGTATATAAAAGAATTTCTGAAACCTGGTCTTTCAAACATAGTTCAGAATATCCACCATTCTCAGATGAATACAAAAGATGTTAGAAGTGATATTCACAGTGTAAATAACCATGATAATGTTAATATTTTAGGTCAACCACTTACAAACTATACATCTGTGAATCCAAATAATCCATTTGCAGAAGACTTTCGAAGTGAATCAACGGATGAACAAAAGGATTCTTCGTCTAACATATATTTACACCCGAATATAGAACAGAGAATTATTTACGGTAATACAGTTATAGACAAAGAATCTTCTTCAGCCTACTCTTCATATTCGTCTCCACCTAATCTAAAAAGTCCTCACAACAATGAAGTAAATTTGGAAACAGACTCTTCATCTAATCAAAACCTCCGCTGCAGATGCAGACACCCAAAATCATGGGAATGAATAATCAGTTTGACGGTCCGTCTAACAACCGACTTATTTCGTCAGAATGCCATCCATTTTATGAATCTGCCCGTTCTAGTAACTGGATCCCGAACACTACACATACTAGTTATAAGCCGACAGAAGACTTTATTTTTGATGATCAAATGACAGAGATAGATTGTGGGCAGTATCAAAAGAATCTTGCAGTTACATCCCTTTCATTGTCTATGGATTCATCAAACTCTAGTAGATCTCCTACTCCACGTGGTTCCTGTATAAATGACAATGACAAATTAATCAGGACAGGAGCAGAACAGGGAATATTATATTATCACAACAGCACTCTACATGAGTCCTGGTCCTGCAGACAACGGTCAAGTGAAAATACTAAGTTTAAAGTCGCGGCATATCCTGTAACTGACTTTGGTGACCACAAACAAAATTCATTAAACTCAAGTCTAATGGGAAGCGACTGTTCTGAGCATGATTCCACCTCACTGTGGAATGAACACCCGTAAGTTATTTGCAGATATTTTGTATGATCTGCATAAGTATATTGATCAAATCAAACTTCTTCCTACTACTACTTCCTAAAGTATCTCTTCAGTAATATAGATATATTACCATGATATACAACACATCATTATTAATCTCTCGGGTTCCATCTGGACCATACGGCTTCAACAGTACATCTCCATTTCACTCGCTTGTCTGTAGTCCACTTTAGTGGGCTCCACAACAGCCTATAGCCTGTCATCTCCTCCTCACATAATCTCCCCAATGTAATCTTCGAAAGCCAAACTTGTAGTTTCCCATTCACTTCCTACTCAATGGTCCGGCTCATGGTGTCACACAATAGTTTTCTCAATGTGTGACCGGGCCATCTCCACTTTCTTCTGAATATTTGTTAGGTAATAGATTCTTGATTGGTTTTCCGATACTAATTCTTTCTGGCTATTTGATCTTCATAATGGAGCAAAGGTAGCTGTTGACGGAAGTCTGTAGCAGGCTGTTGGATTTGCTTTTTGTGACGTGCCGAGTTTCTAACTGACTTAACAAAGGTGTTGAAAATCCATATTTTATATTGAAATAATTTCTTCAGGTTCAGTCTTTTGAATTTTAATTTTACCACCAATAACCATAGTATGGTTGTAGATTTACACACATAGAGGGGTTCTCTTAAGTATTTTGTATGATCGGGTCTAACATTTAAATATATATATATATATATATATATATATATATATATATGCATATATGTGGGCTTGTAAAAAGTAAACAGTGATGTGTTTTCTGTATTTCATGGGTTATGGTACAGTGGTGAAGAATATTTTGCTACAGACCGTTTTGGTTAAGTTCCACGTTAGAAATTATTTCATATGCACTCGTAGATATCAAGCAAGAGTTATTACAGACAAGATAACTCAGTAATTCCAATTGTGCTTCTGTAAAATGTATTTATCGTTTCTAGACTTACGTGATAAGCATTCTATTTATTCGAAATATCAAATGCGAAAAGTGCGTCTGTAATTGCACTTATTATTTTCGATTTCAGGTACGAAAATCCAAAAACAACTGCGATTCCTGTACCTGTAGTTTGTGCTGATCCGCTAGACAGTTTTCCGAACGAATCTTCACAAACAGTAAGTTGCATTATATTGATCACACAAATTTTTCTAATAGTGTGATTAAATAATGCAAAGCCTTCTCCAGTTCCAATTCACATCTTCTTAAACAAACCCCAATGTCACAGACTGACATATACTTTACTGGAATGTTAATTAATAGTTCATTCTAATAATAATTCTCTAACCGGTATCAGTTCATTGTGAATCCCGTAACCTACCACATCCCTGTAAACCAACAACTGAGTATCAATCTGAAGCTGGCTACTGACTAGTCCTATTCAGGTAGGCAGTTACTTGGGTTCTAGTGGAAATTCGTGACTGGTAGGGTACAGCGGGTCAGGTGTGAGGTCAGATACTCGCCGATGACATTCCCTAGTGGTCGCGCCGTATCATGAATGGGCAAAAGCTGGAATTAGGGGGTCACTGGGTCCGGTCCCAGTGGCTTAATGGTCTACGAGCTCGCCTTGTAACCGGAACACCTTGGGATAGAGCCCCAGTGAGTATGTACTGTGAAGAGTCCCAAACCAGGACGAAACGGCTGTCCAGTACTCCCAGGTTTTCTGGTAGTTCTCTAACTGACGTCAGTTCATGATGAAATCCTGAAACCAATCAAATCTCTGCTAACCAACACTTGAATAATTCATTCTAATCTCACAGCAAATGCTATTACCGAATAAATTATTAGCATAAATGTTTGATACCGAATCATTGCATGAGATAAGTATTCGTCCACATGACCGAAATGCTCATTGGTACCATGCCACATGTTTTTAGCCTACTGAAGTCACTAATTTGACTACTTTTTCAATCATTTGTGTACTCAAAAGCTCAGATTACAGTGATTTTCCATAGACATAGAAAATCAAACAAAAACAAAAGCTTACGTTTTTTAAGTGTATAAATTTCAAAAAAAAAATTGTATGACATGTGGGCGAGTTAAAGTGCTTTTCAGTGTTTTTCTCATGTTTAATTCTCAATTTGTTTTGGATATTCTCAGTAATTGAAAGTTTAAACATTTCGCTTTAAACCGAATTTATACCTTAAAAGGTAAAATAACTTTTCCTCTTAACAATTGTAACAACTAGTTTACCCCCTATCATTCCTCACTAGGCGTTTTCTTTTCTCCTAAAACAAACTTAGCGTAAACAAGCATGCGAAGGTTAACATGACATTGATGATGATTTCAGTGACACTGAAATGTTCCCTCTGTGGCATAACAAATTAAAGGCACCGCACAAAGCTTGTTTGTTGTTTTTTATTCCGGTAATTGACAGGAGTTATTTTTCCGTCATAGTCTAATTGAAATCAGACTTTTGTTCTTGTTATTCAGCTATCAAAGACATTATCAAAATCATAAACATTTTTTTGTTGAGTAGCTCTTTTTTATAAAAAAAATTAAATTTAACTTTGAATTTTATAATTTTGAAACAACAAAAAATTAAGCAAAATCAAACCAGGAAATCCAAGCCACCTGCCTATGTATAGATGAGTGAAAGTGAGAATAATCACCCATTAATGAATAGAAGAAAGTGATTTCAAGTATTTAGGATGATTGACTAGAAAGGAAAAATAGGTGAAGTCACACAAAGTGAAGTTTGTTTCCGCTTCATGCTCATCAGTATTATCATATCTTTGTTGAGCAGTTAAAATTACTTCATAAAAAAGCTGAACTCTTTACTCATTTTGTGTTGGTAAATCCTCATACGCATTTGATGAATTTCAACACAGTATAAAAATATGTGCAAGTACACAAGTTAAGAAAAGTTCTTCTTTGTCCAATAAAAACAATGGTGTGATGGATAAAATTCACGGCGTTTATATCCAGCTGCCTGCTTAAATCACTAGGCTACCAGAATTTCCATCCATGAAAATGCCTAAACTCTTCTGCACTTCTTATTGTTTTATTCGTCCAATTTTTATCAGATGACCATTATATGAACTGGCGCTCATATTTAATTAGTTTCTCAATATATGCTATGCATTTATTGAAGGAACTGAAGAAAAAATGTACAGAATAGGTTTTCTCTTCATATACAACAACACTAAGACAAATGATTTACTTCAGATTATTGCTTTACACGTAAATCCTGTATGAAGAGGAAATATTTTTAAACTAAATACTCTGAAAATTTCTGTGATATAAGTTAACGTATTATCTGAAATAAAGCTTTGCTAATACTTAAAAAATTACCATTATTAAATTTTTTGGATTTTTAAAACAATTATGAGATAAAGTTACAATAAAAATTAACTAAAATTGATAGAACAGAATAATGCTTTCTGGGAGACGCAGTTAGCAAGAACGAATTCAACGAAATAGGTTAGATTTAAGATGCTACACTCTGTTGAATATTTTTCACCTCCATGACATTCTAAATTATTATACGTAGCTTAAACGAAGCCTTTGAGATATTAGTGTCAGATGTGAATTAATTCATTTAGATGACGGTGTTTTATTCACTTTCACTGAAAGTGACTTTAATGAAAGGAAACTGTAGGGGTATTTTTCATTTTTTAAAAGAATTAATTATACAGTGTCACTGTGAATGTTTGAAATCGCAGTTGTAGAGACACTGCTTTTCTAAATGTTGCCGTCACTAAATGATGGTACCATTTATGCAGTATAAATTTTATATTATTTATTAATGACTGCTAAATAATACTCATGGATCAACAAAACCTCTCATTCGAAGCTTTTAAATGACTAGAATTAGTAAGTGCTGTTGCATTAATCCTCCTCAACATTATTTAAATTGAGAATTTGACTAATTAATTGATTTTTGGTGTGTTGTTCTTTCACTTTCCTTTGTACCTAAAAGCATTTGATCAGTGAGACAAGAGCAAATACGAATCTACCAGACTACAGGGAGGGACTTCTGAATACAATCTGATTCATTAATTGTGTGAAGATGTATGATAACAATATTTAAATAATACCATCGTTCGACTGCATATTACAATTCAGGACAACTCATGAACTATAAACGTGTAGAGCAGAATGTCATTTTACATTTATGAGAACTACATTCATGACTTTCCCTGGATTCTGACAGATATAAAATTTGACTTTTTTCATTATTAATTTCACTTGTTATGCCTCCTGACTATTTACTCATTTACACATCCGTATGCTTATCACTCAGTGCACGGATTATACTTATGTTTTTGTTATCACAAGTACGATGAATTACATTTAAAAAATAATAAAATTCAATCACATATTGATTTGTAAATAAACCTTGAAGAGATACTTTGTACAAATGATTATATATTCGTAATTACTACAATAATAATGATGATATTAATAATTAAAACATGTAACTGACTTGATGAATAGATAAATCCTTGTTACGAAATGATCAAAATTATTTGTTGCATAGTATGCGAATGTTGAAATTGACAAAGTTCTTCGGACTAGCCTCCTTAGGTTTGAAGTTTTTATGTAATATTCTGGTTATCGGTGATTGATTTAAGACTAAGTCTTTTGTGTAGGCAAAACAATTAAAACTTTCCTCTTTTGGATTAAAAGCAAAGTATATCTCGAGAAAGAAACCTCGCTCAAATTATTTCTAGCTGAATCCTGTCCAAACCCTTCCATCAAATTTCATCAGATAACATAATTTAAATAAATTTAAATTATATACTCTTGTATTCTTCAGCGCAATTCAAAATGTCAGAAACTTCAGTAAAGGGATTGATAAGGCCGAATGACGATGAGTAGTTAAAGAACAACTAGAAGATATCTTTATCTAGAAAAAACACATTATGAAAACCTTAGAGCCGATGGGACTTACAATGAAACTCTGTTGTGAGAAGTTGAGAGTTTTATCTTTTCGGTACAGCACAAATATATCATCACAAAAATGTGTGGCTAATATACACAGGAGATCATGTTATAGGAAGCATTTTTCATTCCTTCAGTGTTAAATAGTTTCGAACATATATATATATATATATATATATATATATATATATATGCAGAAAAGTCAGTCACAGCTGCTACTGTACAACAGAGGAAATTATTAATATTCAAGTATTGGTGTCAGCTCATGGTGAAATCTTCCATGCAGTCAAACAAAATCCCTACAGAACCAATACTTGAAAATTAATCTGATGCTCACTAGTCACTGGCCCTATTCAGGCAGTTAACCTGGGGTTCTAGTGGGAAGTCGGGAGCAGTAGGGTACAGCAGGTTGAAGATGAGGCAGTAACTCATCGAAGAAGACATTGCGAAGTGGTCGCGCTATGTCGTGAATTGGCAGAAGTTAGAATTCAAGAACCATTGGATCGGGCCCCAGTGGCTCAGTGGTCTACGAGCTTGCTGGCCTTGTAACCAGAAGGTCCTGGGTTCGAACCCCGGTGTGTTCGTACTGATGAGGAGTCCCAAACTAGGACGAAACAGCTGTCCAGTATTCCCAGGTTTTCCAGTATTTCTCTAACTGATGTCAGCCCATGGTGAAATCCCCCATGAAGTTATTAATACTTTGAAGGGAAAAAATTCAGTCTGCTGGATACCTAAAACAGAATGAATTTGTAGTATTTTATGTAATTAGAAAGTTCTGGATCCGAAAAACCACACTTTAAATAAACAAGGCCTTCCTATAAAGATTTTAGCGTTGAAATAAGGTCCAGTATACTGCCTGTCTTGTCACAATCCACGATCTGCCACATGATCCAGTTTACCACAATCAGTACTATCATCAGTGATAGTAGGCGGCGTTGTTTTACTTCTGCCTTCTTCTCGAACACTTTCGTAAGTTCTCTGTTGTGAATCACGTGTCATGTGGCATTGTTACGCAGCTGGTGAATAAGGTTGATAAATATACGAGGAATTCCGTAGTGTTAAGACAGTTTCCGAATAACTTCATTGTTGACTATTTCAAAAGTCTTTTTGAAGTCGATGAGGCTGAGGCACAGATATGACTGCCATTCTATGCTTTGTTCGATGACGATGCGTAATTAAATACTTTATATATATATATATATATATCAGAGAGTGTTAGATAACTTTTACTACCTCATACATGGTTAGGTTAATTACTCTTCGTTTCTTTTCATGATTCCGCGATGCAAATAGTTTTAACTACAGATTCGTAAATGTCCTGTTTCTTACATTTATCTTACAAAATTACATGTGAATCAATAAGTCTATTTAGAGGTGGTAAAAGTCAGCAATTTAATTAACGTGAACTATGTAATTAAGTCTTTTTTTCGTACAAAAACACCAATTCAGTTAACTCTTTAACACTGTAGCCTCTCATCTGCCTATCAGTCCTCTGTCCGACCTCATTTCTCCTCTGTTCTAATACAGAAAATTCTGGTTTATTTCCAACTGCACTCTATTTCTTCTTTTTGTGCCTCCCATCTTTGCAATACTTTTCTACAAATTTTTTCCGATACATAGTATCATTATTCAATCTACTTAAATTCTTCATCTAATCTCTTTTCAGAGATCATTTTTATCATACATTATTCACTGGATATGGATTGGAAAATCTTTGTTTTCCACGTTTTTACTTTTATTCCCCCTCATCAAACACCAACTTTGCTTAGCAGTTTAGACACCGCCGTTATCAGAGTGTGTTGACATTATTTTATGCAAACAAAAAGCACATAAAATAAGGCTTGTAGCTCATGCTGGCTTGTGTTTCCAAAAGCCTTTTATATTCTTTTTCAGGTAACATCTTTTGTAATAATTTCATCAAGAACACACGTTCCTCCTCTCTTTTTGTTAACTGTTCTCAAAGCTTTTTGAATTATTTTGATTCACTGTCTTCCTTGCTTCCATAAACTCTGGTGTTCTTGTATATCATCCATCCTTTTCTACACACTTCATGTTAGAAGTTAATAATTTTATGAACTGTGTTGTAAAAGTCAGTTGCTATCCATTTTGTTCCATCTCACTTTATGCGTACACCATTTACACATAACTGTCTGTTCAGGAAATAGATGGGCAGCAGTTGCCGTTGAAAATATGAGAAAATTCTTATTAGTGATTGAAAAGTGAAATTAAGTCAATAATTGAGTTTCACGGTCTATCCAGTAGGGCGTCTACATAGTAACCAGTGCCCATGGTTTAAATATAGTCACGACTTTTATTTCTGCCTCCCTCCCATTCACCACTATTCTGCAGATAACATCAATGTGACAAACTAAGGCAGTCTAACCAACACTAGTTATTGTCCACCACTGTTTTATAAAAATCCCCATATTGAAATCAAAACAAGATTTTGAGCGAACAAAGCTCGTTGAAGCGAAAACTAATTGTTCACTCAAAATCTTGTTTTGTTTTTAAAAAAATAGAAGTAACCTTTGTTCAGTGATTTTCCATTCAATAAAGGGGACTATTGCTCTACACAGAATTTCTATAACACGGAGTTCAAACTGAATAAATTGCTAACAAACTCTGTGACTATTTCTGTCTATGCCCATTGATAAAATCTGAATTCCAGTCTTATGGAATCCTTAGGTTGTCTTTGTTATGCTCAAAAATAAAGAGTATTAAAATATTGTAAAAATTGCTAATGTAACATAAATCACAATTTCCTACTAAATATTTTGATACAAAAAGAGATATCATGTGGTGCAATGCGTCTAAGACCCTACAGATGTATTGATTGCCCATGCGTTTCATATAAAATGCATCCCTAACTCTTGACTCATGAATAAAGTTTCCATATAGCACCATGGAGTTCTAGTTAGTCCATAACACAGTGTAACAATTAAATTTCAGGTCATTTTGTATCCCCTGTAACTAAAAATATTTGGCCACACCAAAATAAAATACGTTGCTAATAATATAATAATAATAATATTAACAGCTTTATTCCAAACGGTATTTGTGGTACAGGTATGGAATTTTTAGCGTGCATTACAGTATATTGCATCTAATTACCTCATAAATTGTATACGATTTTTAAAATCAAGAGATAAATAAATAAATAAAATATAAAATAAAATATATATTTTTCAGTCAGTGGTTAATATAATATATATATATATATATATATATATATATATATATATATATACATATATATAGTTATTATCAATAATTCGGAAAAAAACTAAGTTTGCTGGGTGTTTACGTTTGTATTATAAATTTCACTCATATAGCACGACAACTTAGCACGCAGAAGTTTTATAGAACAAAGTTTAATTACACATTCGAACTAATCAGTCTATGGATAACAGCCTTAGTTCGCCAAACTTATTTCGCTGCTGAGAGGTAATTACCTGAATTTCAAAATGTCGGGTTATTACCCCATCAACCAAACTACACGGTTTCCCTGATATATTATTATTATTCATTGATTGCTTGCATTCTGATTGGACCATAGGTCTTCGGTAGCACATCTTCATTGTTGATGTTCTTTGACATCACTTTCAGGTAGCTCTACAACTGTCCACGAGCTTTCGTTTTCTCTTCACGAGATCTTCTGCATGTCACATTCGGATCCACATCCAATCCATTGCTTCTCATTAAGGTCCTCTCTGGCTTGTGAATTAAATCGACTGTCTCCTGAGTGTATTGCCTTCCCATCTCCATTTCTTTCTGCAAATCTATTGGGTAATAGTTTATTGACTGGTTCACTGATTACCAGAGCCTTTCATTTCACCCCAAATAAGTAGCCAAAAAATGAGACGATATGGCATAGAAGTGCTGAGAATCTGTAGGAGCAGATGTAATGGATGCGGATTATTAAAATTGTGAACTGGAGACTCAGTAATATACTACGGTCAGATGACAACAACGAGCACAGTGAGGGAGTGAATGGCTCTCATGATGTCACCAGTGGCAGCCAAAGCCCTAATGCAGTGGGGACCAATTTCACCCAGAATCATGACAACAAGATTCAACTCAAAAGGAAGGGAGGAAGGTTACAATTATCCAATGCTACGTACAGTGCTACGAACAGCGCGGAAAAAGAGAAGAAGGAAGTTTTTACAGTCAACTATACACAGTAATGGACAACATCCCAAATGGTGACATCAAAATCCTTATGGGCGATATGAATGCCAGGTAAACTGGGAGCAGATAATACAGGGAGAGAAGTCATCATGGGCAGAGAGGCTTTCATCTGGCGAAATGAATGAAAATGGAGAACTATTCTCAGACTTCTACGCTTTCAATGATTTGGTGATCGGAGGCAGAGCGTACAGACACAACGATATACACAAAGCAACATGGATTTTGCCCGACGGACACACAAACCATATAGATTTCATACCAACCTCAAGGAAGGGGAGGCGCAGCCAGCTAAATACAAAGTCAAGAAGGGGGGCGTATGTGGGCTCAGAGCATCATCTAGTCCAAGGAACCTTCAAGGTAGAGCCGAAATCCACGAAAACA